ATATAAACACACTTTGAAAATAAAATTATTTTTTCAAAGTGCATAAAAAATCAAAGTGCGTCGTAACACCTTTATTTGTAAGTGCTGGAGTAACTAAGTCTCCATTTTCGAGCAGAACTATTACTTTCTCATAATAAGTATAAGGGTTACTTATTGACAGTTTACAATTACCAATAAGTACGTATACGTCTTGTACTCATTGTTAGTTACTTAATGTTCAAGGTTGTTTAAGCAAAGCCTTGTAATGTCCAGACCAACTTTTGATGTGGTTTGAGACTATTAATCACCTTTTTAAAAACATACATCACAATTAATTAATGAGTCTACCTAATCATGTTTTGATATAATTCAAAATGCTTTAATTTCTTTCAAAAGGCAGAGATTTTACATACACTCATTTTGATATTGTGCATTGTTTTCATTTTCAATAATCGATAGCTTTTGTCTCAGTGCTCAGAACAAACGACACAAGTAAACTCCCATCCGTTCTTGTATGGTGGACATTTCAAGCTGCCACACCTAGCTTCCACTGGATAAAACAGATAACCGTCATGGTTCCCTCTCCCTCCATGAAGAGCCTGGGGATGAGCGTCCACACAGGTGTAGGTGGAGGCCGCGGGGTGATTGTAATATCCAGTCATCAGGTACCCCCAGTACTCTCTTCGCCATCCGTCATAACAGGTTTTCCTCGCTTTGAATAAACAAAAAATTATATCAAATCAAAAAGATAATGTTCATACTTTAAATATCTTTTTTTTTCAAAAGTAATCCAAGTTAACCATTTTTTTAAGTTTCATGAAAACCTAATATAACAACCAACTATATGATAAACGTGACGACTTGAACTTTTTATCGTCAACTTCCCTTACTTATGCAGCAATATCATATACCTTCATCACCTGCATACGGAGTGTATATATCTCAGTTGATTCGATACGCAAGAGCATGCTCTACGTATGAACAATTTCTAAAACGAGGTAAATTATAGACAAGCAAGTTGATGAAACAAGAATATCAGCAGTTTCGTATAAAGTCATCATTTCGTAAGTTTTATGGTCGATACAATGACCATATCAGCAAATACAATTTATCACTGAGTCAAATGCTGACTGACGTTTTTCATACGAATTATTAGTCCATTATTTATACACTGAATTGACGACGGATTTTCCCGTTATTTCACGATCATGACAAGGAGCACACAGCAGGTGTGACAGATCAGTAGGGGTTGCTCACTCCTCCATGGCACCTGATCCCACCTCTGATGTTTCGGAGGTCCGTGTTTGCTCTGCTCCTATTTTGCATTGTTTTATGGACTTTGATATTGAATACTGTTCGTTATCTCCATATCCTTATTTTAAAGAAATCAATGAATAAATGCAGGATAATGTCTCTTTTGGACGGAAATTTAATGATAGTTTACGATTTTGTAAGCATAGAGCTCATGTACATCTACTTCATGCATGCAGGACCTTGCATTTGCTTCGAAAATTTCGTTTACTGAAAACTTTTTAAATTGTCTCAGGAATACCAAAAGGAGCAATTTTCAATATCATCTGAGGGAAATTATCTGATGGTCTATACATATAAATATAAACAAATTCAATTGCAATTTGAACGTCTAATTACATCAAAAGTTTTTACGGATATTTCAAGCATCACTTATACCAGAGTACATTTTGCAGATCAAATGATCTGTGAGGCGTAAACAATTTAAGTGTTTCAGTTTTCTATCTAACCATAACAGATTATTTCTCATCTTTACCTGGAATAACTATGACGGACTTCTCGTTTTCAGTCATACACACAGCACAGGGCACGTCTTGGTTGTGGACATCAGAATTTACTATATCCCTTTTAACCTCGTATTCGGCTCCATAGACGAATCCTCTTGAGTTGTCCATTCTCCTGTTGTTGCGACCCCACTGAGGGTCTTTCGGTAAACAGAGCGGTTCAACTGCCCCTCCTCGGTGCACATAATGAGATCCTCCCACATAACCTACAATGTATTCAAAGTAGTCACATAATTGAACTATAAATGTACGAGGAATGTGTTGGAGGTACTTTTGAACTGTTTACAAGGGCTCGCTCAACCAATCTACTACCTACATGAATGAATAAAACGGACTACATGTACCTTGGGCACTTCTTGATATCAGTTAATACAAAATGCACTACCGAGTAGAAATCGGGACTGATGTCTTTGAAAAATTATTGTCAACAATTGCTCATACCTGAATAGACCAAAATTGCTGTCTTTGGACAATTCTTGCGGCCCCAGCGAGTATACACAGATCCTCCAGGCGAAATACACTGTCCAGCTTGAAAAGTCACCACTGCCATGATCAACACAACAGAGAAAATTGACATCATCTTAAAGTTGAGATAAAGTCTAAAAAGAAAAAAACATTTTATATGCGTAAAACTAGTTATGAATGAAAAACTTCAACAAGTAAGAGTACAAAATATCAGAGAAAGCTAATTTATTTAACAATATAATTTCAATTTGTAGAAAAAGGTCTTCTCTCTCATAATGAATGACTTTCTACTTACCGTTAACTCGCTTCACTTCGAAATCTCTAAGATCAGTTGGCTTCAAGGGTCTTTTATTAAGAATTACCTCCCTTCTGTTGCACCCTTGATTCATTGCAACTGAACATGACAATTGACAGGGGAAGAAAGAAACAAGCTTGGAGATTGAAATTTCAATATTTTTGTTTTTGATTTATTAATCAACGTGAACTATTATGTAACGATTTTTCTGAGAACCTAATTCTCATGTAACCAAATGAAAACAAATATGCATTTCTAAACTGAAAGTTAAGATCTGTAGATTTTAAACAAATTTATTAAATATACTTCAAATAAAATAGTTTTGTGTATGAAATCACACTTTTAAACATTCTTTCAAAATAGACTTTTATAATGAAAAATATATACTATTCCCAAAATAAAAACTGAATTCTTAGAAAAATCGTTATATGAATGAACATTTTGATAAATCGTTCAAAATAAGAAATATTGAAATTTCAAACTTGAAACATAATTTTGCTGCACCTGTCAATATGCAGCATACAGTAATTATTCAGGAGGGTAACAGAAGGTCTCCCCTTTTCTATAAAAGCCCGCGCAAAATGGGGTCAACAACCTGACGAGGTTATTGAGTTCAGTGGTGGGTAAAAAAAAATATATAGTTGTTAATTTTAAAATACTTATAAGAGTTCATTCTTCCAAAGCTTAAAAATTCTTTCGTGTAAAAATTTGAGTCTATACAGTAAAACATGGTTATAGCGAAGTGCCAAGGACTTGCAATATTGCTTCGTTGCATTCATAGTTCGTTATATCCGTTTATTGGGCAATATATAATGTATTTGAAAGGGTAATAATTTGTTATAACCGTCAATTCAATTCATTGTAGCTTAAAGCGTGTTTTAATGTTTAAATGAAGTTGAGCCTCGTTTATCCGACCTATTGTTTTTTTTAGATGATGTCCATTTTTTCTGCTGTGCTGACCGTGGTATTGGTCACTTTTCACACTGTTCAATGTTACTCACCGGGAGGTTCAGTGTACACCCACTGGGGCCGCAAAAATTGTCCCAGCAACTTTGATCTACTCAGGTAGAATTATGGAATTTTTTTTTTGTTGGGGGGGGGGGGTAAAATTATTTGTTATTACAGAATTCTTCTGATCTACTCAGGGTAAAATTTACTGTTGGTTAGATCGACGTTAATCTACACAGATACATGTAGGATTGTAGGATTTACTGTCGGAAGGAATGACTCTGATCTATTTGGGTTAGATTGTAGGATTATGATTTGGTAAGAGTTATTCACGATGGCAACTTTAATCTATTCAGGTAAGATTGAAGGATTTACTGTTTGTAAGAATAACTCTGATCTACTCGGAGTTACTGTTGGCAAGAATATCTATTGTAGACTCCACTTCTTACGGAAGCTGGTAGGTGCTAGTTACAAATATTTTATCTGGCAGAATCCAGAAAATTATTTGGCAGCTGTAAAAAAAAATAATCTGGTGGCCTTAAGATTTATTTTTATCGCGGCCGCCAAAAACTGAGGGCCGTCAGTCAGTTTTGTGGTAGCCCCCGAAAAACTATTTTGCGGCCGTCAAAAACCAATATATAGGCACCAGATAAAATATTTTTACTACTTGGCACCTTCCGACTCACATAACTTTTAATTGGATGATTATGGAAATTACATCATGAGTATTTTATCATTTACAGTTAAATTTCAAACATGTATCTGATGTCTAACTAGAATTCAATATTTGAATATTAATTTTTAGAACACAGTAATAATTATACACTCGCTAAATTCGGACGATGAATGAATTCATAACACAGTAGAGCAATGAATGATTCAAAGCTACTAAGTACTTGGATTTTATGAATATTCGTACATATTTTCTAATGAATCAATAGATAGATGTCAGTTTGAGATCTATGTTCGCTAATTCACATGATATAATAATTTAATGAATATCTATATGTGTGTGGTCTAAGATATACAATACATGTTTTTAGATTTGAAATTTTAAAAAAATCCACCCTTTTAAATACCACAAATATTAATTAAAAAGGAAACCGCTTGTTTTGTAGGATATATAGGGGGATCCCATTATACGCACAGAGGAGGTGCGGCTGAGCCTCTCTGTTTACCGAGAAACCCTCAATGGGGCCGCTACAACAGAAGAATGGAAGCCTCGAGAGGATACATCTACTGAGCGGAGTACGAGATCGGAGACGCCGCGGTGCATAACCACGACGTACCTTGTGCTGTCTGTAAGACCCATAGTGGGAAGTCCGCCATTGTTATTTCAGGTAAAATAATTGCCAAATTTAAGGATATAATTTCGTAATGTATGCTAATTTAAAAGATAATCCCTGTTTTATATTTCGTCACATATTTATCTCACTTCGAATGTTTTTTTGTGTTCGTGTTTGCTGCGCTCCTACTTTGTAATGTTTAATGGACTTTTGAGCTCGAATGCTGTTCCTTATCCTTTATCATATATTTCATTCAAGAGGGCAAAATTGGTGGTGGAAATATTTTCTGTTTATACAATACTTTCTATTATGAAGTAACTTATACATTATATTAAGTATAAAAAATAACTGTGACGTTGAAATTAAACATTCAAATAGTTTTATACATGATTATGCTATGATGACTATCAGAAATATCGTCTGCGTGGTAACCATCAGAAAAATATTCTGAAGTTTTTATGGTACATGTATTTCTTGTTTTTTTTTAATGACAAATTCATGTATAGCTAATCAAGTGCACTATAGAGAGGTTTTTTTTTGGTTAATGAGTTAAGTTCTTTTCTTTTTTCAATTGTTGATAACTTCTAGATATTTTATTCCGTTTCTGCTTTAAGTTTAATACAATCTTACCTTTAAAATAAAAAGTTATGCAAATGAGGTAAACAGAATAAATACAGAATGACTTAGAAGACATGCTCACACGAAATTCAAACCATTTTATCATGCACTTAATAATTTACCTAGAAGAAGACAATCTACACAGAAAAAATATCTATAATACAACTAACATTATGAAAAATTCACAAGCACATGCTTGTTCATATATCTGGTAATCAAAACAAGTAAAGGAAAACGATATTCATAATGAATTAGTGTGGTAGATCAAGCCTTGTAAGATGTTCGATAAAAGATGATTTTTTGTACATTTGATTGTAATTATATTCATAGCTTAAAAAATCTTCTTTATAAAGTTTAGAAGGATTCTTATTTATTGTTAAATCAAATATTTTCGAGTCATCCAATTTCTATTGTTAAAAAAATCCCTGGTTTGAAAATATTTCATTTTTTTGATTGAAAAAGTATTGAATTGTGATTTATATACAATTTTACATTTCGTGAATAGTGTGAAGTTATCCATATCTATTCATCTCATGAAAACAACAAAAATTAAGCTAATCCAAAAATAACTGATTTCATAGTTGCAATACAACATCATAATTTTTTTTATCGCCTTATTATACAGACATTCTAATGCGCTTCACATTAAAATGCACAAAAGCATACAAAATGCAGAACGGAGTACATGTAGCGATATGAGCTCCAACTTTGGTGTCGGACATTCTTGTTACAAAATTGTTATAAACTATTTCAGTGAGGGAGAAATTACAAAATATTATAAACTTTTGCTGTGCATATTTGCGATGTAAGAACTATTTATTAGCTATGATTGAAGCAAAATTATAATATTGTCGCGCAGTGCAATATTGTTTTCTTATATATTTACTAATATATTCGATTGAACAGAAGTATTTCTTTTGAAACAGTTTATCGTAGTCTTAATCATTATAAAGGTTTAATTACATACAAATTTATCGTAACAACACATTTTAACGGCAAAATAAAATTCTCAAAAATGCAGCTCATGTTGTTTTAAAAAATTCATGTGAATGTGCATATATATATTAGAAAAGTTAATAAACACATTTTATCAATGTCTAAAGGTGTGTGAAATATTTGTTGTACATTAATCCTCTTGATACACCATTACAATTTCGGATCCCGGTAGGGTTACCTTTCGTAATGTTATGTATTCTGTGGTTGTTTGTAATTTTCTTGAATTTTTACCGATTAGTTCACTTACCTTTTGTCAGTATGTTATTATAATGTAGTCAACTAAACTCTATATTTTAAAAAAGGTAATGATACAGTGAAACCTGTCTAATCCGACATGCATTGATAGACACATTTTCTGTCGGAATAGACAGTTTTCATTGTCTTAAGGGGGCCAACTATAGTTTCCATTGCACAATATTTCGCGCATCATAGTAAAATGAAGCGTATATTTATTGTTTTAATGCAACTTTTTTCGCTTAATAATTAAAATTAAACAAAATTAAGAAATTATAGGTATAAAAATGTAATAACAATTTGATGTAACTGATTATTTAACCGATTTTGCAATTGATAGGTAGGTTGACGTCGCTTCAGTGTCTTTTTGACGTTATGGTAATCTGAAGCTCTTAAAGAAAGGGGTAATAAAAATATCATTACAGAAAAAGTACATGTAATAAACATACGCTCTTGAAATTTAAAACATAGAAATTTTATAATATCTCCAATATTTTAATTATGTTTTCTTGTGAATCCATTGTTTACTTCATATTTTGTAGTACTCTATAAAAATAATAAAATTTGCTACTTTTTTGCATTTTGAGATACCCCCTCTCTTAACAAGACGGTAGAATTTTGTGTTTCTTACATATATTGTATCATATAGTATTACTCATAAAATATCATAGTTTGAACAAAATATCTATTGTAGTATTTGTATAATTTGCTTTAAAGTGCTAAAAATTAGCATTTTCCTATATAATCCTATAGTAAATGTACCTGTAGTTTGAGACGGTCCCTAAAAAATACCTGGACGGCAGATTTTCCCCAAACTTTGCATGTACACTGAAGTTTATGTAAGTTATATATGGTATAAAAATGAAGAGTTTCACTATTGTAGTTTTCACACTATAAAACTATAGTCGGCCCCCTTAAGTAATCCAATTTATGTTTTGTGTACTTAACAAAGCAAGACATTACTGTCCTTCCGACTGGATTATGGAGTATGGGGGATACCTGGTGACTGGACATTACAACCACCCCGCG